TTATTTTATTTTATTTTATTTTATTTTATTTTATTTTATTTTATTTTATTTTATTTTATTTTATTTTATTTTATTTTATTTTATTTTATTTTATTTTATTTTATTTTATTTTATTTTATTTTATTTTATTTTATTTTATTTTATTTTATTTGTGGGTATAACGGTAACCTTGTAGTCCTGCTAGGAAGGGAATGCATGGCCTCTTAACTACCATTTATTCTTATCTCTAGATAAGAAGGAGTTTGTGTTGTGCAGAGGGGAGTTTATCTGCTTTTATGCTGGAGACTGAACATCTACAGGGGATACCTAAGTGGTGCTAATCATCTAATGATGAACTAGTCATCCTGCTAGTCATCTAATGCTAAGCTTAGCAGCTCTTTCCTGGACCAGCCTCCAGCACAGCCTTGAAACACAGGCTGGGAAATTGGGAAATATCTTACATTGCTGACACCTGGAATGGGCACACTAGTGGCAAAGTGGGAATCTTGTCACACATTGTCAGGGAGGAAAATGAAGTTCTCCAGATTTTGCTCCTTACAGGGCTACAGTTCCAGGGAAAGCACTTTCTGGGAATGCCCTCGGGGCCTCAGGGAACTAGAGACCTCTTCTGCTGTGGATAGGTCCTGTGGCTCCACTGCAAGACCATGGCACTCCCTGTCCCTTTGGCTTTGGACACAGAGCCTCCTGCCTCAGCCCTTCCAGGAAGAAGTAAAGAGTTGGTATGGGAAGGTGGCCCGTGGAGTGATCAGCACTGACATGTGGCAGCTCTCCATCCATCTCCTCCTTGCACCCACGGTAAAAGATGGTGTTGGGAAGTGAGGAAGCACACAGGAGCTCTTCCACAAAGAGCGGCCTGTTCATTGCTGTGTTAAGAGAGATTTTCCCCTTTTCAGGAAAAGGCTTTTTTTTTTCCCCAAAGTTGATTCCTGGGATTTCAAAGGGACTCTGTGCTGCTTCCCTGGCTCTGGATCTTGATGATTTTCTCCTAATGGTCTGGCTCCAGTGGAGAAATCCTGCCTGGTGCTTTGCCTGGGGCACAGTTTACAGAAGAGCTAACTGGTAGATTCCTTTCCAGGCCTTATCCCTATTTCCACATACACTATCCCATTAATAGGTCTTGTAGATGGTCCTAAATGGTACCAGAGTGACTACAGGGCTAAGCTGTGTCTGGCCGTGCCTTTCTATATGCAAGTGTTGGGGAAAAAATATATGACTGCAACTAGGATCAAGTGGGAATTGATGTCTGAGACCATTTCAGATTTTTTTTTTTACTGCAGGCTGGCATTAGCCCTTGATTTCTAAGACTTCTGGATGCTGATAATATTATAAAGGCAATATACTTTTGTGCATCAACCCCAATGTATTTTGGATTGTTGTTTGAAAGCTTTTTAACTGTGTCAGTAGTTATTAATCTTTATTAACTTGTGGACTCCTGAAAGATTTTCCAGTGATGAGTCCCTCAGTATAGGAATTTATAAGTGCAAACTGCAGGCTTGCTTTTTTTAGATAACAAGATACCTGGGAAGTACTATGCTTGTCCATTCCATTCTTGTCACCAGAAACCCACAGGCAGCAGGTTGATGTAGGCTACCGCAATTAAAAAATAAATAAATAAATAAATAAGAGAGAGAGATAAGTGGGAGGCATGGCACTGCAGGAACAGGAGCCACAAGGTGGCAATCTCTCTCCGCGGTTGCACTGGCAAAATGAACCTGTGGAAAAAAATAATAAAAATCTGGCGGTAACTGAAGCTCTAGATCCTGCTGGTCACATCTTGTTTCCAATGGGTTCAGTGCAACATTCGCTTCAGCGCTAGGTTTTCTCATCTGAACGTTTCTGCCCTCAGGGTGAAATTTTCGTGCTTGAAGAGGTGGCATTGGAGGCTGATTTTTGCTGGCTTTTCCACGGCTTTCTCCCAAAATGGGCACCAGATGTACCTCGTTAGATTGCTAGCTGCAAGCCCTGCTTTCATGCGTGCTGACAGAGCTACTGTGTGCAGTGCAAGGGAGGTTTCCTTCTTCACTGGAAGCACAAACTCTCTGTGGCAGCTGGTTCAGAGTATCTCTAGCTATCTTAATGTTATATTAATGTACAGTATGATAGGATCCAGCGTCATGCAGTGAGATGATTAGGCAGGAGCAGACTAACCTTGGTGTTAGAACTAGGTTGTAACCACTAAGTTGCGTGTGGCATATGGCCTTGAACAGCTTGAGAGATGAGAGGGTCGCAAAGCCCTAGTGACCATGGTGGGGAGGAGGGGGGAAAAATATGTAGCTGGAGTGTGTGAGATGTGGGGAAAAAAATGCTTGGTTTGGGGTGAAGCTGTCTTAGTCCTGCTGCACTGCTGCATCAAACACCATCTGCTGCTATGAGCTCTGTCTACATTAGGACCCAGATGCATTCTTGCCAAATGTTAGCTTACATGTGTGTGAAAGTAAACTGGTGCGAAAGCTGTGGCCTGATTTGCTTTCAGTAGGATTTGCCCTGCGCAAGTGACGACGTGCTAGCGAGCCTTTCACTGAGAGGATGCACTCCAGAAGTTGCAGGTGTGTTGCTGGAGCATGTGCAATGATTCAAGATGGAAATATCTTCCAAAGCTCCAAATGAGACAAAACAAACTGTGCTTTAACACATGCTCAATTGACTGAGTCTTTGGCAAAGTATGACATGAATCTGTAAGGCTCTCACTGAGGCCTGGCCCAGCTGTATCCTGCCTGCTGTATCCTTGAGCAAGCAGTGAACTGCTGTCCTTGTTTTCTTCTTGTGCTGTTGTCTCCTTCTCTTACCTGTTCTCCACTTATGACATTGCTCTTCTGTTAGGAGCTATGTTAGTCCTCTATGAAAGAGGCAGCCTGGGGATTGCTACTGGGTAGGGTGAGAAATATTAGCTATTCCAAATCATAGTGGCAAAAAGGAGTAAAGAAAATCTGGATTTTCTTCCACAGAAAGTGAAGATAAAGGTAGCAAGAATAGGGCTGTTTTCTCAGGGAACATGCATGCGGTGACTGTCACGAATGCTCTGCAGCCAGTTGAGAGCAGAAACTTTCCCTGAGTAAGAAAAATAACCACTGAAATGTAGGATATATGATAACTTCTGGAACAGAAGGAATAAGACCCCAGGCAAGGGAGCTCTGAACATTGTGCTGTACCTTTTATTTCCATCTGTGGTGTTTTCTTTATCCCAGACTCAGTTACTGTATGTTTGCCAAACTTCACCCAGCCCTCTGGGTGATGACTTGTTAAGCACTTAGTTTGTGATAACCGGTTTTCTCCTGAAATGATACCACAAGCCTGCTGTTTTGATTTAAGCTGATTTCCAAGTATTTTGGTTAATGGCTGAAGACAATCCACTCCAAGAGAATCTAACTCGAAGAAACCATGAAATTTAATTCATTTCTGCAACTTAAATATCTAATCAGTGACACATGGTAATATTAAATACAGGGGGGGAAAGTAATTGTTTAAATCAAATTTCTGCATGCAGTCAAAACCCAATAGTTGTAACATCAAACCATAGTTTCCATTGTACGGGAAACAAGGCATCACTCTGTCAAAGAAAATAGACAGGCAATTGCATGCCTGTTATATTGGCAATACAGTTTTATTTTTAGCCTTCTCCTTGCTGCTCTTCCTAAAGGGCTTATAGAAAGCAAGCTGGGAAGGGAGAAGAGAGAATAGAGCACCCAGATGCTGGCAGAAAGCACAAAGGAAATGTCTGTATTGTGAATATATGCCCTCCCCCCCGGCACTTGCTTCTGGCTGATAATCTCCTGGACCTGGCGTGGGCACCCCGGCCCTCCCCACAAACTCCCCTCGGCTTCCTGCTGGGCTGCAGTGGGCTCTGCTGTTCCCAGGGCTGGGGAAACGCTTCTCCT